AATAGACGATTAGAAGTTGTTTGGAAAAAAGTTATGTAAATAATTAAAGCTACTCAAAGTTAATGAACAAGATATCCAAAGCTCTCAGAATCTAAAACTTGAGAATGGATTAAGAGCTTGAAGAAAAGAAGCCCACAAAACCAGTAGACATATAGGTTTATTGTTAAATTTACTTTTAGAGTGTATGAGTTTGGCTTTTACTCTTTAGCACCTAAAGCTTCATCTTCAGCTTTAAACTTAATCCAGCCATGAATATAAATATATATATATATATATATAATATTTTGTTTTTTGAAGTCATGAATAAAATTTTAAGAGTAACACTACAACAATAAAGGTCATTTGCAACGACATTTGTCATCGCAAATATTTCATTATTTGCGACGACATGTCGTCGTAATTAACTCCCGTTAAATAAATTAAGCATGTCGTCGCTACTAAGTTCAATGTCGTCGCAAATAGTTTAGGCGCGCAATTTCTAATGGCGCGGATTTTTGCCGCCAAAGGGAATCCATTTTTTGCGACGACACATGTCGTCGCAAATAATACCACTCTATTTGCGACGATGTGTTCTCTTTGTCGTCGCAAATAAGCTTGACTGGTGGAATGATTATTTGCGACGACATATTATCGTCGCAAATAATTTTAGATGTTGGGTATTTGCTACGGCATTTTAATTTATTTGCGACGACATTAAATAATTTCATATGTGGGGTATTTGCGACGGCATTTTAAATTTATTTGCGATGACAATGTCATCGCAAATAAATCTGATCTATTATACCCTAACTTCTTCCTCTTCATTTTCTCCCGATTTCACTCTCTCTCTCTAAACAATCTCTGCCTCTTCTTCTCCTCACCGCCACCCGCCGCCCCTGCCGCCCTCCGTTCTCTCTCTCTCTCTATTCCATTCTCTCTCTCCTCTTCTCTCTCTTCTCAACTTTCTCTCTCTCTCTTCCCTTTTCTCTCTCCCTCTCTCCCGCTCCCCCTCCCTCTTGTTCCCATCTCCGGCTGCCCGTCCCGCCACCCCGCTCCTGTCGGCACGCTCACGCACCCTTGCCGAGGCTCCCTCAAGCCGAGACTCCCTTGAGGTTAGTTTTTTTTTTCTTTTTGTAAATTTTATTTTTGTTGTTATTTGCATTGATTCGAAGAATGTTAGGGATTTTTGTTAGAGATTATTATTACTTGCTAAGTAAATGGAAGAATTAGGAAATAGAAAATATAAAATGTTATGGATTTTTGTTCGAGTTTAGTCATTTTTTATAGTTCTGAGAATTTAATTGATCAAGAATTGTGCCTATATGTTATTCTAGATGTTAAGAAAATGTTAATTTTGGTGTTTGAAAATTATGTTCGATGTTTTGTTTTGGTGTAGGCATTTGATTTTTCGCCTCCGTCACTGTTCGCACAGTTCCTCTGACATAATCCTGCTATTTTCAGCCCCCGTCTAGTGGGTTTGAACTTTGTAATTTTTTTATATTTATTTAGTTTAAAATTGTTGTAGTTTTTGGTTGTATGAATTCAAGATTATGATGAGAATATTTAAATTATGATTTTCTTATATTGTTGAAATTTAGTATATGTTTATAATTCTTGTTCTGGGTGGCACATCTTGCAGCTATGGTGTACCGAAATCTTTTAAAGTTATTTTTCTGCAGGTTTTGATTTTTGGATCATATGAAAAATAAGTCGTTATGCTGCTGAAATTTAGTCAGAAGTTAAGAATTTTAACAAATATAATTTATTTGACAGACCAGTACGGAGACCCAAGAGCCGATGTCTGTCATAGACAATTGGGCAGACATGCATCGTCACGGGGACTCTTGGGTTAATACCCATGCGAAACATACTTTCGTCAGTATTTTTACTTTTCATATTAAATTTTTTTATACTGAAATAGTGGTTTTATAACACGTAAAAACAATTATAATGTCTTATTATGTAGAACACCCTGGAGGAGGAGAGACAAACACAGAGAACACAGACTACTTCAAGCTCGACTAGACCCCCCCTTGATGAGCATGGGGTTTTGGAGCAAGTTCTTAGCATGCGTAGAGGACATAAGATAGGAGTGGGTCCGACGCTCTCCTAAATGCATTACTCTGGGGCTTCTCCTTCATCTGGTGGTTCATTCTTTGACGCAACATCATCGGCTCAACCTGACCCACGTGTGGATCGTTATTTAAAGAAATCGTACCGGGAACAAATGAAGATTTATGACAATTAGATGAAGATGTTAGAGTTGGTGTCTAAATGGCAACCCAACATCCAATTACCTGTTGGGAATGGTGTCCTAGAAGCATGAGATGTAATAGGATATTTATTATTTATTTAATAAAAGAGTTTATTCATTATTTTATGTGCATATATTTTTGAATATTTTATGAATATCAATGAAAATTCCATGGTTATTTATGTAACCTTAAACATTGTATATAAGTGTTATATACGAGAGGATAATGTTTAAGGATAATAATCAAAAAGCAATGTTCATAATGAATTTAATTAAAGTTCGGAATCTTTAATTAAAACATTATTAATACATGTCATTCCCATTTAGAATGGAACGGTGTTATCCGCACTGTTAATATGGTGAGATATTGAATGAGTGTATTTCGCATAATGAGATTATGTGGAACAAGGACACAGACACAATATGAATTTCTAATAATTTCGTTAAGTATAGAAATTCTAATTGAGTCTACCGATGGTCATATATAGGATGATCTTAATCCTGAGTTCTTACCAGACTCCTATTTATGGATTTATGTCTTTTGATTTACTCGGTATGGATTCTGAGATCCTGAATCCTATTCCTTGTATTTTGGAGACATGATGAAGTAGGTAGCCGAGAATGTTATTACACGAGATGAACTTCTTAAGAAATAAGTAGATAAATAATTCTCTTGAGGGTTGATTCGGTACTTGGACCAGTAGGAGCTCCGATTCATGAATGTGTTTTATGAATCACTGTCCATTAGAGAATCAATGGTACTCAAGGATAAAGAAATAATTAGAGAGGTTAACGGATTTTACCTTGCTCTAATTATGAATTACTTATGGAGAATTGATCTATATGCAATGACTATATCAAATGGACACTTCACAGTTTAGAAGTAATTTATATCTATAATTTCGAGAGTGCAATTCCAA